TCATCAAATTGAGTTAGCGAAAATTACTATAATTTTGGTGGGAAATTTTATGGGTCAAAATGTTGACAATGCGCCCCAGAGAGGCAGCGGCCCCCCCCCACAAAAGTGGGGTAGAAAGGCAGACGAGACGAGACGAGACGCCGCTGACCGCAGCGCATATTGTTTCTCATTTTTTTTTCCATTTCCATTTCCATTTTGTTGTTTTTTACTAATTTGCTTAATTAGCGCGACTTACACACATCTACAGGGTATACCCGTAGCATAGTCCCCACTTTTGGGGTTTGTAACACGATTTAATTGGGTCTACGAGCATTTATTTTTATTGTTTCTCTTCTCTTCTCTTTTTGGTAATTTCTGCAGAGTCTCTTCTTTACTTGTATTTTTTTTTGTTTTTTTTTTCCTTTCTTATTTCTCTCACGTTTTGGGCTCTACACAAGTTTATGGCGGGGCCTGAGAGCTGAGCGAGGAGCGCCGTCGTGAATGGAGTCGAGGGAATGGATTGGAGTACAGTGTGGCGTACAGAGAGAGAGAGGAGTACACTGTGGCTTAGCGGGAGAGAGAGAGAGAGAGAGAGAGAAAGAGGTGTACACCATGGCGTATGGAGGGGAGGAGGTGGAGTACACCGTGGCTTATAGAGAGGAGGAGGAGGAGTGGTGGAGTACACTGGAGATTGGATTGGAGTGGAGCAATAGCCAGACAGACGGACGGACGGACAGACAGACATTCCCATTAATGCTGGAAACGTGATGTGCGGCGTTTTGTGTAACTCGCCGTGAGAACATCGCGGGCTCTGCAATCGCTCAGGTTTCGCCTCGGTTTAAATGACAGCCACAGCCGCGGATTGAAACGTTCGAGCCAACGAGCCAACGAGCGATCCAGCGAGCACAGCACGTAGATCCCCACAGATCGATCCATGGATTGGCTTTCCGCTTTGTATCTTTCTCTCTTTTGTCTCTTAGATGCACTCCCATTTGCATATGTGCTCGTTCCAGCCATCAGGCAATTGTGCGCGGCCTTCGGAGTGTGAAAATTGCTGCAATCGCTGAACGCACCGCCTCGAACGTACTTTTCAAGTACATTTATGGGCCGTCGATCTATCATCTGGTGCTGGTGATGGTGCGGGGTCGAGCCCTTGGAAACGGGGGCTTGGCTAATTGCCAGCAAGATCTGTACTGATTGGCTCTGATTTGGTATCCAAGTCACTAGACCATATGGGAATTATCGGAAGCTTTAATCGCACCTATTTAGAGTCACCTTCGAAGGTGATAATCCAACGTGTACAGCCACAAAAACTAGACCGTCTGTGAAGCAATTTTGTGTTGAAATAAGTTCCAGCTCAGCTCAGATCGGATCGGATCAGTAATGGATGTTCATGTTCTCTCTTTTGTGTAATGATCGAAGAACTGAGAGTTCCGCCAAATCAATTTCCATTTCTACACACTGCCTGGAGTGCTACTCGTACGGGTGTACGGGTGTCTGTGTGTGTGTGACCCCAAAGCGGGGCATCATCCGAGTAGTGGAAACCGCAAAGCTAATTGCTTATGCACAACGCATAACCTTGCCACTCCATGACACTTCTGGCCCTTCCCTTTCGTCTGCCCGCAGGGCGGAGGAGCGCTGAAGCGTCGAAAGGGGGGGGATACTGGATACTGGCGGATAGGGTACGGATAGAGAGAAAGCTTTCATCATTTTTCCGCAGCCGCATTGAAAAGGAATGGATAGAGAGAACTGTTGGCCAGGCACGCAGGCAGACAGGCGGCTTTCGGGGGGGCTCTCGGGCGGGGAGGCAGTGCTTGGCTTAATTGAAAATTCACAGTAATGCCGGGCTGTGGAAAACGACAGCTGCTGTGTGGATAAACACGGAAAACAGAGGAAAAGGCAACCAGCAGCAGCCGCCCGACCAAAGAAAAGAAAAAGAAAACACATTAAAATAAATATAATTATTTCTTCTTTTTTTTTTTTCTTGGCTAGACTGGGGCTGGGGGGTGGGGGGTGGGGCTGTGGGATGGGGAGACTTCTTTGCTTTTATTTTTTGCTCTTAAGCGCTTTATATTTCTCGAGATTTCCGCATGCTTTGTCAACCGTGGAAGAGGCACGAACTTTCATTTTAAAAATTCTCGAAGCGTGTGCCGCACAGCCCCCCCCCGCCCCATTTTCTACCACAGAAACTATGGATTTTTCCTCCCCCAAATCCACAAAAAAAAAAAATGCACAGTGTCATCATCATCATTATCATGGATCAGAGGCTCCACGAGGCTTTTGTTTCTTTGGAAACTTTCATGGTTGCCGGAGTGACTTAATTCTAACGTCGCGACGTGACTGGCAGATCACTCGGGAGAGCATGTAATTCGCAAATTAAGAGCTGCTCTGGTAGAAAGTTTTAGAAGTGCTTTATGATCTCCCAAATGATCCGTAAGACACAGCACACTTTCAATTTTCTGGCAAAAACTCCACCCATCATCCAGGCCGCCCCGAGATACAATTCAATCTTTGGTACGGCCCGTCCGTTGTGAAAGTTACTAAGTGTCAAAACTCTGAGGCCATTCTATTTTTCACACCTTTTTCTTTTACTTTTCCGTACTAGCCTTGTCTCGTGCCCCCGCCCCTCCCAGAGAGCTTGCCACTGCCACTGAATCATTGAATCACTGAATCCACACCGCACATCAGGCACGTTGTGCGGTGGTCCGATGGTCCGATGGTACGATGGTCCATGCGGGAGCCAGCTGATAAGCTTTTTCTCGTATATGGCATGTGCCGGGAAATTCTGTTGCATATGCAGAAAAAAAACGAAACGAAACGAGACCCATGTGTCATATTTTTGCCAAGTGATACCGTAATCTCCAGAGCTTACGCAGGGGCTTACTGCCGTTGGACAGAAGCTTCCGGCGTGGCTTTTATCAAGCGAGCTCTCTCTCCGGCATTTGCGGCAAGAATCTGTTCCAACTCATTTATTTGGCCAGGCCTTCACTTTCAAACCCATGGATGGACCAATCCATGGCATTGCATACCTCGCAATCGTATTCGTACACGTGCCTCGTGCCCCGTGCCTCGTGCCCCTCGTGCTCTGTGGCGGGGCGGATATTTGGGTGAAGGTTATCCGGGTGTCCCCCGGGTCCCAACTGGTGGCGACTCCTGCTGCACTCAATATCATAATGCCACAAGAGTGTGGCCTCCTCTGCGCCTCCGCAGAGACCCCTGCCTTCTGCCTGCCTTCTGGCCGCCTTCTTCTTGCCCTTCTTTAATGATGTGTTTTAATTTTGCTTTGTCGTGTCGTTTCGCTGGCGTTTTTTTTTTCTGCGCCTCGGCTGGAGATTGCGTAAGCATTTGGATGACGCCGCCTTTTACTTTCTTTTTCTTCTTTGAGGCAAGAAAAAGGAACAGCACAGCACCAGCACATTATCATACCATTTCTTATGTGCTGCTGCCTGCCTGCCCCTACAATTAATGCTTTAAACTTGGCCTTAACGCATATGTATGAGTATTTGGGGGAGGGGGCAGGTGGGAGGGGTGAAACACAAATCAGAAGAAACTTATAATTCATTTCTCTGTATTTTTGTAGTAAATCTAATTAACATATAAGCGGATTTGGAGGCAACAACCATCGCCCCATCCCATTCCATCCCATCCGATCCATCGCACGCGCCTACTCACTCGCATATTGCCAAATGGGGCCTCCCTCTCCCTCTCTCACCCCCTCTCTGTCCCTCTGTCGCTCCGTCGCTCTCTCGCCTTTTTGGATTTTGTTTTTGCCTTTGGCTTTTGGCTTGTGTCGAAAAACTCACGCGATCCGCGTTTTCTAACGACAAATATATAGAAATAAAATACACACGAGAGACATGTGTGTATTTCGAGCAAATTCGTATGTAAAATATGTATATAAAAACTAAATATTGAATACAAGAGCGGGAGAGCACATGGTGCACTGTGGTTCGCATTTACGGAGTGTACGGGCGATTAGCAACGGAACAAAATTTATTACAAAACTTGTCCAGAACATTCGAATGGGGCGGACGACGGTCGGGGGATTACCTTGTGGATTAGCGCTTTCGTTCAACTTGTGGGGAATCTGGGAAATACGGCAATATCATATTTATAGCCATCGATTGCGATATGCCATCAACTGCAGGCTGGTGGAGATCTTTGGAGAGTACGATTATAGGAATGGGATCAAACGAAATAGCGGCGACATTTCCCAGAAATTGAATGTTTTGGGATGGTTTTAGACTTGGTTCTTGGACTTGGGATTTGGATACACTTATTGAGTTATCGATAACATTCCTTACTATCGATTAGTGGCGATTGTTTATAGGGGCCTTTCTCTTATGGCACATTTTTACAAGGATGAAAGGTCTGTAAGTAAAAGATCCTAGAAAGATCTTGTGATGTTTATCGATAACACTCCTTACCATCGATAAGTGGCGATTGTTTATAGGGGCCTATCTCTTATGGGAAACTTTTACAATAAATGAAAGGTCTCTAAGTGAAGGATCCTAGCGCATATCGGATGGCTATCGAATATAATATGCGATAGTTAGTTCGATAGTTTCTTAATGTTTCTCATTCCATGAATTGTTTTAATGTTTATCTGGTTTTTGAAATTTCCTGATGGCCCCCCATATTTTTCTGGTTTTCCAACGTACCCCGTCCCACTGTGCCATTCTTGTGGGGAGTGGGGGGTTTTTCGCTCAAATGTGGAAAAATTTGAAGCCTATGAATGACACACACACACACACACACACACACACTCTCACACACACATGCGAGTCTCGAGAAGTTTTGAATGGCGAAAAGCACGCAAAAGGGAATCCGTGAAACAAAGTTGAAAGTTCGCTAAATGCTTTTTTTATATTTTTGTTTAGAAGAAAGTTTGAAGCTTGAAAAAGAAACAGAAAAAAAAAACAGAAATTGAATAAAATTTAAATGTGTGCAAAAGTAAGTTAATCGCAAAAGCAACAAAAACAACAAAAACACAGTGACAAAAACGAAAAGAAAAGAAGACGATAAGCAGAGACGAAAAAGTAAAACAGAAAATCAGTAAAGGAGAAAAGTGACAGTGAATGATGTTGAGAGCGCCCACACAGCACATCGTGGAACTCGGCTTCGGAACGAAAACCCCAGCAACAACAACGACGACGTCAGCAGCGACAGCGGCAGCGGCAGCAGCAGCCAGCGGAAAGCAGCAGCAGCAGCAGCATCGCAGCAAGACATCTCTGTTGCAAAAGCTCAGGCAGCAGCAGCAAAAGCTCCAACGACAGCTGACATCGCCACACGGAGAGGCAGAGGCCGAGGCAGAAGCAGAATATTATTTCCAGCAGCGGCAGCGGCAGCAACAGGCACCTTCGCCACACTCGAGCGACAAGTGTCTTCTGTTGCTGGCGGCGACCATAGCTGGCGGAGAGGAGGCATTGCCGCTGAAGACCAAGAAGAAGAAGGAGTCCTGCAGCTACAATCTAGCAGCAGCCCTAAGGCGCCACAAGAAGCCAAAGACAGCGACAACGATAGTCGCCACAGCCACAGCCACATCACCGGTGGCACCAACAGCAGCGGCAACGGCAGCGGCAGCCGCAACCTCGACAGACGACGACGACAGTTGTCGCAGCATCAGCAGCGGCAGCAGTCTCTCAAACAGTTGCATTAACCATCATAGCAGCACGCCTTATAGAGACACAAGTGGCAACAACAACAACTACCTAAGTAATTACAATTGCAAAACCAGCGAGCAACAGCAAACAGCAGCAGCAACAGCAACAGCAACAGCGTGGAAAGCAACAACACAGCAACAGCAACAACAACAGCAACAGCTGCTCATTAACAGGTCAGGAAGCGGCAACAACAGCAGCAGCAGTGGCCCCACATCGATCATGTCACCCACATCGCAGGCGCCCACCCGAACCTCGCTCTTCGATTCCTGCCACCGCAAGATCCGCCTCATAGGCGGCGGTCCAGTGGCCTTTCTCGGCGGCCTCGTTGCGTAAGTTGCCTTTTGAAAAACCCCCATATGAATCTATAATATCATATAGTGTATATAAGTGATTCCCCAGCCATGATAATGATGGATAAGCAGGGGGGATTCCTATTCCTCAGCTCCCATAGCCCTGATTCTTTGTTAAAGTGATGCAAATATTGCATATTTATAGAGAAGAGAAGGAAAAACGTTCCAAAAGTATCCAAAATGAAGATGAAGTGAAATTGAAAGACCAAAGCAAACGTTTTCTCAGCGTTTAATGGTTTCTTCTATAAGAAAATCAATACTTACAAGACTATGGGCTCTCTTTTAATGTGTTTACACTTGAAGACTCTATTAGCCCACAGCTTTGCAGGGTATTTACTTCTGGATTTCGTTTGTTCCAACAAAGAACTTGTCTGTGGATCCCCTCCGAACCTTGTGAACTGTTAAATAGGTGATGAAAACTAGACAATTACAACGTACTGTACTCCAAGACCGCAGTGATCTTAACCTCAAAATATAAATAGAAAATGGAACAGAAGCTGTCCATTGAATTTGTCATTAGCCAGAAAATTAGCTTAAAAGAACACCAAGAATATTTCCGAGTTACGAAAAGACAGACCCAAGACATTAGCCCAAATATGAGGCACGATGCCAAGCCATGCCATGCCATTCCATTCCATTCCGTTCCGTGCCGTTCCTTAACTGCCACTATAGTGAGATCAACTTTCTAAGGTCGTGGCGGAGATTGGCCAGGCAATTGCACAAAAGTCGAATAATAATAATATTAATAATGTGTCTGCATTATGGAAAATACTTGAAAAATCCACAGTCGCAGTCAAAGGTCGGACAAAGGAAGCGAAAGACTCGAAACTAAAAGAACCAACAAAAATACAGAGCACAGGGCACGGGCACCCCACATAAATGTAGGTATTTACTCACTTTTTGATGGCTTTAATTACGAACATTTCTCAAGCGGTGGGCCTTTGTGTGGAGTTTTAGTTTTCGGCCACCAAAAGCACCAAAAGCACTCTGTGCGAGCGCGAATTCAAGGTTCGAGCGGCAATTAAAATATCACAAAAGTGGAAAAAAAGAAACAGAAACAGAAAATAGAAACAGAAACCGAAACCGAAACCGAAACAGAAACAAAGGCAAACAGCCCAGTGGGTAAATTTATGCACATGTATTGTTTAGTAGGCCTAAAGGTCCCACAACAAAATGCGTTTTGGAGGTCACACCTTCGGCGATAACGGGCAGACAGGAGGTGGAGGACTTCCTTATTTGCTTGTGGTCCAAATTTAACCGAGATCCATCATCGTCCCATCCCCGCTGGAGCTATATTTATATATGATTTGGCTTTGTTTGGGCACCAGCAGCAGCACCAGAGTTAAATGAACTCTCCGAATTAGTGGCGAGGTGAGGCGACCGCAAAAGCGTTGACACCACTCATCTGCCCCTCTGCCTGAGTCACAGAGTGCGCTGAACTGATAATTAGTTAGGAAACCAAATATTGACTTGCATGAACATGCATAAACACTAGACGAAGATGAAGAGAGAGAACGAGAGAGAACAGCAAGTAAAGAACTGTAGACTGTGGGCGGCATTGCGACTATCGGGATACCCTTTGTTCGCCCCTGCATACAGACGGGCGTGGAATGCCACCAAAGAGGACTCTTTTACTCATGGGCAACACTGCCGAAGAGGAGTTCCTTAGTGCAGATGGCAACACTGGCGAAGAGGAGTTCCTTAGTGCAGATGGCAACACTGCCGAAGAGGCGTTCCTTAGTGCAGATGACAACACTGCCGAAGAGGAGTTCTCAGTGCAGATGGCAACACTGTCTACAAGGACTTGCTTTGTTTTCCTTGTTCCCAATGTGATAATAAATCGATTGTAACGACTTTAAGTACTTTGGAAGATATCTATTCAGAAATCAGACAATATCGTTCCCATAACTTACAGTTTGTTTAGCGACGATGATCCCTGAGCAATACGAGCATACCCTTGCACTCCCAGGGACGAGTACCTGCTGCTGAAAAGCGGGGAAAACAGAGGCGGGCGTCCCCAGCACGTCCCCAAGCTCTGACTGTGCCTGTGCCTTTGAGTGTGAGTAACACACAACTTGTTCTGTTGTTTGGGGGTCGCCTTTGTGCATGCAACACACACAGTCACAGGCAGAGCCACAGAGAGGGGGGGTGGGTGCCTGTGCCACTCGAAACAATGACTAACAGTACGTCTGTCGAGGCAGTAGAAGAAGTCGAAGAAGAGGCACCAACCACATAACAACAGTCATTTGTTATGCGAGTAGCAGCAGAGGCAGCAGCAGGAAGAGTCGCCCTAGCAGCGGGCATTATAAAATGATGATGATTATGATGATAAACCTGTCAGGCACACAAGCCCCAACCAGTGTCAATGGCACACTAAGAAGCTACCAAAAGCTAACCAAAAAGCCAGCCACACGTCGAGGAGACTGAACAAATTTGCATAATAATGTTCAAAAGTCTTGTATTGTCTGATTTGCTTTGGTTTGTAAACAAATACGAAATTAACAAAAATAAATCCCTCGCGGATCTGCGAGAGATCTCTTCATAAATGAGTAATATTGTCTTGAAGTGGTAGCTCTTGTGGCCAACTGTACTTTCGGTAGCTAATTGAACACACAGCACAAAGACCTCTTCTCAATCGGCCTCGTTAACACTTTGGTATTAGTTGTTAACAAATTGGCATATCGAAAGATATGCTAATCACTGTCCAGCATCCATCACAACAGCCTTTGGTCACACTGAAACTGAGAGAATCGATTGTATCGAAACTTAATCGATATTTCGACTTAAAGTTCGAGACTTTCTGGGAAGAAAGCTGGCCCCAGCACTGGACTTATGGGCGGTACAGTTGTGTTCAGTACAGTGTAACACATGTTACTTGCACTTTTTTCTGCTCCAAGTCTCCACATTGTTAATCTTGGCTGCCTCTGCCTCTGCCCCTACCTCCTGCCTCCTGCCTCAGCTGTTGTGCCCTTTTTTTGTGTGCTTTTCGTTGCCCGTCAGTCCATCCACTCTGCCTCGTTGGGTTTTTCGCTCCACATGGTTCGACTTTGGGCCTTATCATATGGCCCCAGTCTCCAGTCTCCAGGGGCCCGAGTCTCGTCTCTCGTCTTGCCCCGTATCCGTACTGTTACCGTTTTCTGTTTCTGTTTCTGCTTCAGCTGGTAGCTAACGTTTTAATTTCCTGTTCCAATTTTTTCCTCTGGCCGGACTTTTATGGGTCTCTCCCGCATCGCATCGCATCGCATCGCATGGCATTATTTTCCTGCCGCTGCTTTACGAGCAATCAACTTTTGCCAGAGATTTGCTCTGATATGGCCAGTAGTGGCCAGTAGCCATGGCTCTCTGGTAAAACATATTCCATTCGATCCATTAGGCATTTGACGGCTAATCATCTGGCCACTAACCTGCTGCCAAGCGGCTGTCTCTCGCCAGCTGTCACAGCTGTTTCGCTGGCGGCTCCAGCCTTGGGGCGGCTCATATTCAAATCGAGAACAGGTGCTCAGGCGACCCCTGGCCCCAGGCCCCAGGCAGCAGGCACCAGCCAGCGTTCATTGACACCCCACACCAGGGTCTGCACGCACTGGACCACTTAATGACTGGTGGCTCGCAGAACAGCTGGTGGACACAAAGCGTTTCCAGATTACGCTCGAATTAGTAGAGCCAGAAGGCGTATCAAGGTACACGAGTACGAATACGTGTGTATTCCGAGTTCATTACGCTTCCTTTGCCCGCTGACTGATGGCCAGAGACAGAGCCAGAGCCAGAGACCGGAGCCAGCGATGGAGAACCGAGTAATTAGCCAATAGAGAGAGAGAGAGGCAGCTCAAGAATTAGAATTAGCAAATATTTCTTGTACTCGAATGATTATCTCACTGGAAAAACAAGCAGAAAAACTCGGGGAAAATGGCATTTCAAAAATCTGTGAAAAGAAAGGGAAGCATTTTACGGGATGTAGGATGTAAGATCATCGCTTGATTCCGCGAACCCTAGAAATGACATTCTTTGAGATCCAAAGAACAGTTTCTGGCAATCGGTGGCTTCCTAGAGATCGATCTCTAGTCTCCTCTCATAGAGGGGCGTTGGATCTACACCAGGGAACACATTCACCGGTTTTGCAGTGGATTTTGTGCACATGAGATAGGGCGATAGGGCATAAGATGGCACCATCTAACGGGATTGCGAATATAGAGCACCAGACAGATAGAAGCTAAGCTAAGAAGCTCTCTGAAGATCTTCTGATGGCGGCAATTAAATATGGAGAAGAGAAACAATTGCCGTAGAGCCGGCCACCACTGGGTTCTTGGGCGACCCACGACCCCGGTCAACTCTCGGTCAACAACGGAGACAATTGTGCAACGATAGCGGTACATCGTTGGTGCTCTCTCTCTCTCTCCCTCTGTCTGCCCCAGCAGATGGCTGTAATTATTTGTCCATTAGCCATCCGGCAGAAGATTTGGAACACGACTCCCCACACAGCAGCGGGATGGCAAAGGTCAGCGGAAATTTCTATTTCCAAGAACCTCAAGGCGGCCAAAAGTGATGCCAAAACAGACAAAAAACGAGAAAGATGACAACCCGAACCGATTTTCAGTATAATTGCTCGGATTGCAGGTGGGGAAAGAGGTGAAGCAATGGCCCCCTAACTGTAACTGCACAGTGGGACAAAAGAAGCCGATCTCGATGGCAAAACAAAAAAATACAGAGCTCGTAAAAGGTTTACCTTGGGGGCTGCTGCTGTCTGGAGTTCCGGCTGTGGCTCTCTCTCTCCCCCTCTCTCTGTCTCTCTCTCTCTCTCTCTTGCTTTTTAAACCATTTAGCCGCATGTTATGGCCCATCATCATCCGCCATCTATCTACCTGTCTTTCAGTATCTCTCTCTCTCTCCCCCTCTCTCTCTCGCTGTGTCTTTTAAATACTTTCCATTATTATTATTATTTCTGGCTCTTTTTGCTGCTGCTGCTTTTTTTGTCTTACCTTCTC